TATGCACATTTTTAATATTTGTAAATTAACATCGCCATTATTCCTCCTATTATTAAGGCTGACTAAAAACTAGACATCTAGCTGACATCTATAAACTGTCCAACCAAGAAGCTAAAAACAAAAATATTCAATTACAGACGTACAACAGCAAAAAAAAACACACACAGAAAAGGCTAAATATTTGCTGCTAATTTTGACTTAGCATCACAATACATGAGCTGTCTGGAAGTCACTAACAGCCACTTAAGTCTTTGTCGTGGTGCCCGTCGCTAGCTAAACTCCCACAATGCTCTCTGCTTGCCATCACAGAACCTATAGTCCAAGTGACGCCTCCTCGGGTCGAACACAGCGAACAAACTGCAAGCTCCCATCTGAAAAACATAAAAAGGCTCCACCTGGGGGCACAACCAGGTACTACAGCTATCTGACAACACATTTTCTGACGTAACATTCCTCATCTACTGCTTTTTTTGTGTTAAATATTAACGGCGAGGAATCGATTAGCAGCTAATCATGACAATCTCCAGCCAGCAGTGCATCTATTAAAAGATGCAGGAACTGTGTCGCTAATATCCACATTTTAATATTTGTAATTGAACATCGCAGATCTTCCTCCTATTAAGGTCTACTAAAAACTAAAAAAAAAAAAAAAAACACCCAGATCCAAAGCAGACATCCACAAACTGTCTAAACACAAATATTTTCAGCTACAGACGTACAACAGCAGCAAAAGGCTAAATATCTGCCGCTAATCTTGACTCAGCACTTTACAGCTGACGACTGCTCATCACGATGAGGAGATTAGCGCCGCTGTCATTTGTCCGTTTATGCATCCCACACGTTTCTTTCACTATCGGCGCTAATCAGATTCTGATGAAAAGATGAAGAAGAAAAAAAAGAAAAGAAAAACTTAACAAAAAATCCATCTGATTGGCCCAAACTAGGGCACGACAATTAGAGGTCAAAAGGAGGTGACGCGTCGACTTATCGGGCCTGAAGTGGATTTTTATCGGGCTTCCTGTGATGTATAAAAATGATTGTTATGAAAAGAGGAACTTTTTTTTTTTTTTTTTTCTTGCAGGTCGCTGCTGCAACTGTAGAGCAATTCTGAGAAAAGAGAGAGACGGAGAAAAGAAGAAGAAGAAGAAACACCACAACGGAGAAAGAAAAAGAGAGAACAGATGCTCGGTTCTTCCTCAATAAAGCGCTTCGTATTAATACGAGCAGCAGCAGGAGGGTGTTGTGGAGAGAACAGAGGTCCTGTTACTGGTAGAATGTGTTTTTCTTGCTAAAGTTATCAGGGCGGTTATCGCTGCTGTGTGTGTGTGTCTTCCAGATGGTGGATAAGAGGCCCTGCCTTTATTAGCCAGCGCTGGCCTGATAAAGACCTGGTATTGATCCCAGGTTGAAAGAGCAGGTTCGTCAAACATGGCTGATTTACAGAGAACTGATAATGGCAGCGCCGGGCAACCGAGGAACCCCAGAGAAGAGAAAAAAAAAAAGGAGAGAGAGAGGGGAGTAAATCAACAGTGTGATGGTGAAGGAGGGAGTGTGTGTGTGTGTGTGTGTGTGTGTGTGTGTGTGTGTGGGGTTAAAACACACAAACAGAGAAACACAAGGACGCCGAGTCAGTTCGCTATCGACAGACAAACTCGCTCACATGTGCAGCATGGCTGACTTCTCTCATCTTCTTCTTATACAATCTAATACACACAACCCTCACCTCAACACACACACACACACACACACACACACACACACACACACACACACACACACACCTACGCGAGCTAATCTCTAATCTCGTCTCGATTAGCACCTGACAGAATTTCCATGGGTTTATCAAACCAAGCCAACCAACAGACGCTTATCACTTCCAGCCCCAAAATTTCACAAGAGCAGGAATTTTTGAGATTAAAAAAACACAGCTGGTGAAATCTTGAATAAGTCAAAAGAATATGAGTGAAAACTCCGCTATCACACGGAGGCGAAAAGGGATAAGAGGTGCAGGAGGAGGAGGAGGAGGGAGGAGGGCAGGACTCGCTGAAGCCCGCAGAGTTTTTATTTTATTCATTTTTTTGTTGTTGTTGTTTTGTCGCTGTTGTTTGTTTGTTTATGTGCTTTTTCTAGACACAGCGGAGATAAGAGAGCGACACGTGTGGATGAGTGCAGCCTCGCTCTCATCGACGCTCGGTGACGTTAACTGTCTCCTGTTGATTAAACAAAGTCCTGATGAGGAGATAAATCTGGAAACAACCACTAATAACTGCCAGTGAGCAGTTGACATCTGGATTATTTTACCAGGAGAGCAGCTTGACGCCTGACTGACGCTGAGGCAGAGCAGGAGAACACGTCTGTGAGATGTTTAGTCAAAATACCAGCCGGCAGAAACACTTGACTGGATTCATTTATATTGTTTCTAGAAGATGTTTTACCTTCATCCAACAGACGAGTGGAGTCACATCACAGTCACTTCACAAACATGACTCAAACCTCCTCGACAATTGGAGAACAGCCTGAGTTGAGGCCCGTGAATAACGTGAGACTCGCACGAATCAAGATCCGTTAACAGCCTAGAACTCAAATAAATGGTGGCGCTTCAGCAGCCCGAGAACCACAAGAATCGAGGCTCCGCAAGGACTCGCTTGAATCAAAGTCTGTCAACAACGTGTGAATTTAGGCTTATCAATGACCCGAGACTCAACAAAGCCTGATAACCCAAGACTTGTACAAATTGAAGCCTGCTAACAATTCAAGATTCATAGAACCAGGGCGCAAGAACAACCAAAGATTCGTACAAACCAGGCCCAAGAACCCAAGACTCGTACGACGTGAGGCCTGACAACAACCTAAAATTCGTACGAACCGAGGTCTGAGAAGAACAAAAGAATCACGCCATCCAAGGCCTGAGAACAAGTGAAGAGTCATAAAACCAAGGCCTGTTAACAACACAAGACTTGTACGAACTGAGGCCTGAGAACCCATTTGAGGCCTGAAAAAACCCCTAGACTTTTAGAACTGACGCCTGTTAACGACCCAAGATTCGTACGAATCAAAACAACCTGAGACTTTTAGAACCAACGCCTTATAACAACACCAAATTAGTACGAACCAAGACCTGAGAACCCAAGACTGGTACAAAGTGAGGCCTGACAACCCAAAAATTTGTACGAACCAAGACCTGTTAACAACCCAAGACTCATACAAACCAAAAAGAACCTGAGACTTTTAGAAGAGACAGCTGTAAACAACTCAAAATTCGTATGAACCGAGGTCTGAGAACAGAAGGATCACACCATCCAAGGCCTGAGAACAAGTTAAGATTCATAATCCAAGGCCCGTTAACAACACAAGAGCCGTAAAGCTGAAGCCTGAGAACAACACGAGTTTTGTACGAACAGAGTTCTAAGAACACCACAAGAGTCCTAAAGCCAAGGCCTGTTAACAACCCAAGACTCATACAAACCAAAAAAAACCTGAGACTTTTAGAAGAGACACCTGTAAACAACTCAAAATTCGTACGAACTGAGTCCTGAGAACAACCCAAGATTCATAGAACTGAGGCGTGACAACAGCCAAAGATCAGTACGAACCAAAGCCTGAGAACGAGATAAGACAGAAATCAAGACTCATCAAAAAAACTTGTCACTGATGTGAGACTCATGAATCGATTCTTATCAACAAACCAAGACGTTGCGTGCATTAAACAGAGGCTCAAACGAATCAGGCCTCGCCCCAGATATCACATGTAAAGTTCAAATGCAGGATGAGGAGCTAGATGTAAGTATCTGATTCTCACAGTGGGGTAGACTCTGGTTGACATGTGAGAAGATTTCCCATTTCTGACTCTGAATAAACCAAACAATGAACTGATTAATTAAGAGAATCATGTGGAGACGCGTTCAGAAGTGCTCTTTTCTTTTAGCTTCTAAAACACGACCAGCGTTGCGTCTTTACAACCATTCGGGAACAGACGGTGGCTCTACAGCTGCTCTTTGATTTTATTAGATTAACGTCGTGGATCGTCGCTGCAGCTCGTCTTGCTCACCTTCGTTGTACAGCGGCGTGTACGGAGGAGGGCTGGAGCTGTCGCCTTCGGCCGAGTCCTCCGGGTCCGAGGCTCCTCCCTCCTCGCCCGACAGGCTCAGGTTGTCCGGCGTGTTCTCCTCGCCGCCATCGAGATCCCCGAGGGAACCTGGAGGAGGAAGAGGAGCGAGAATGAACGCCTGGATCTGTACGTATGTGACGGTCTGATCTGGAGGGTAGGAACGATTAGAACTGAAGAGCTGATGCTACGATGTTAACGCAGGAAAATGTGGTTAAATTAGTTAAACATACAAGGTGGAAAACACACAAGAAGTCACGCATGGCTCTAAATATTTAAAACACAAACACTTCGACATGGTCTGAATGCACATAAAGTTTTAAAAAAATTATTAAAACAACATGAAAAGTTGCCACAAACACTAAATTATGTTGTGTGTTGACTCAGCAGGAATAATACTGAATACAAACAGTTGATCTACACAAGAATAAACATTTATTAAAATGCAGTATATTCCTTTATATCTTAAACTGTCACCTGGTGCCTGATTTATGCATTTTTCCTTTACATAAATACAAACATTTGCACCATAAATTGATGCAGAAATCTGTGCACAAACATTCACATTTGCTCCCTCTTAAGACATAAAACCTTAAGTTCAGCTCACACCATCATCATCTGCTCAACAAAACGACCTAAATCTGCTTTTAGTCTCCGTTCTGCACCGAACAAACAAATATTAAACGTCTGCTTCTTTTCTTTGACTTTATAAAGCAGCTGTAGCATCACAACCAAACAGTGTTAAAGGTGGAAAAATGGGCTTTAAACTGTTTTATTTTTCTGTCACCTTTTCTGCGGCCTAATAAATCTAAACACTTCACAGTTTCTGCAGTGAAATAATAATAAAGGAATAAAGTGGTCGTTTTCAGAGCTGTCACTGTATTTATATTTCCAGTATAAGTCTAAATATTACGTCTTTTACAATATCCGTGTCACACTATGCAGACATGAACACAATGATTTAATACGTACATATTCACTCTGCTAAATAATAAACCTGCATCCAGCTGCATGTAAAATATGCCAAAACTATATTTTATAAGAGATTTTCAAACAAAGCTTCACGTTTCATTTGACAGACGTGATCGTCCTCAGAGTTCATTGTTTGTTTTAAGGCTGTCGATGCTCTAATACAACATATATTCAACTAAATCTATCCAAAAATGACCAAAACTCTGTCGGCTGGTCTAATCACAGTGGATTATTGCAGCAGTTTTCACTATTTATTTATATATAATATTAACAGAAGTGTTATTGCTGAAAAAACAACTGATTGAATTGTCTGAGTAAATGTAAAAAATAAGGCTCCAGACATTCGGCCTAATAGTTAAACATTATTCCCAGAGCATACGTTGCTGCTCGTAAACACACAGAAAGAACGTCAGTGTTTCCTAAACACCTGATTCAATGCAGACGATCAATTAAACAGTATAAATGAAGACAGCTGCTGCAGTGAATCTGGGATTATTTTCTAAACTTTTGGTCCTTCTAATTCATTTAAACGTTGCTTCATTGAAATGATCAACAGGAACAGAGAGAACATGAACAACATACAACAACAATGAGACTAATAGTGGAACCTTAATTTAAATCATCAGACTAAATCGATCTCCAGGACACAGTGTGGTCAGTTGGACTAGTTATAATTGAAGAAATTTTCCCTTTTTCTACTGTGTTCACAAGAAATGGTTAATAAAGTGATTAAAAATTAAGTGAAAGTCAAACCAGTGGTCTGTATTTGGGATAAAGTCGGTATATTTTGGACGTTTGGAGAACTTTTTGTCCTTCGAATTCATTTAAATAATTTCTTCATTCAAATGACCACAAACCATGTCAATATAATACCAAGACATTTAGTGAATTCTGATTATTCAGATGGATTCAATTTAAGACACTGGACACAAATTTATCTCCTCAACACAGTGTGGTCAGTTTCCAACACTTTTAGTTTAACAAATACTTCCTGTTTCTGTTGTCTGACCTCGTGAAACGTCATCCTGTCCGACATTAAACACAAAAATAATATCCATAAATCCGTGGACATCATTACAGAACAACATCACGATGAGTCTGGAATCATCCAAACACTGTATGTCCTGGTGTGTAACGTGAATTAATGAACAAGTTTTCAGTTATTTGGCTCAAGTGCAATGACGCAAGAATGGCACCAAAGTCAATCTAAAAAGAAAACGAGGCAACAGAAACTCAAATCAATAATGAAATATTGTTCTGTTGATCCAAGTTGCTGCAGATACATCAATTAAACGCAGATATTAATGAACGTAATTTAAGGATCGAGGTCTGTCGCTGTGGTGTATGTGGACATAAACCTGTAGATTTGATTATTGTCTTTACAGAGATGAACTTTATCGCCTCCGTTCCTTCATTCATGTCACCAAAATGTTCAAGATTCAAGAGTTTGTTCTTTTGCCACATGCTCATACAGTGAAATGCAAAAAGATTTAAAGAGTACATCAACATAATACAACAAAAATGGAACAACTGATGAAATCTATAAAACTATTTAGACGGATTTCATTTCATGTCACAGTGTGGCCAGTTTTGATTGAAGAATTAGTTCCTGCTTCTACATTCTGACCTCAGGAAACATCATCCAGCGTTTAAAATAAAACCCACACGAATAATCTGTGGACACGAACATCACAGAAGAGGTGAAAAACAAACCGGGAAAAAAGGGCAGCTGGTGGTTGTACGACGGCGTCGAGGGAGGAAATAATAAAAAATAAAAAAAAGTCTAAACACGGTTTCTTTAACTGGACTCATTCAAAAAAAAAAAAAAAAAAGCTGGTTTCAAGAATTGGACACGCTGAACGGTTCTAATCCACAAGATTAATAGCGAGAAGCCAAGGGGGAGCTCGGAGCCAAATTACAGTATACCTAAAATTGCAGCTAAAAGAGTGATTAGTGCAGGGCTGATCTGTATCAATTACAGTTTCATAATCCCTGCTGACCATAGTAATTATACAGTACTTTTGATCTATTTTAGCCTGTTTGAAGATTACATCCAAAAAAAAAAGAAGTCAGTTAATATGGATTTAATGTGACGGCCTTTTTTTTTTATACATACGTTAATAAAACGTTTGCTGTAACGTGTGGCGGGGCGCCGCGTTCACTGGCTGTTTTTCTGCCCGTCATAAAAGGCAGATGACGCGCTTCGGCTCCCGAGAGACGACGGAATTATTAATTCACGGTTAGTGTTTGTGCTTTTTTTAAGAGGATTAGGCGGAGTAACGGTTAACGAGCGGCGTGACGACGTACTGGAAAGTCAAGCAGGGTGGGCGCATTGTTGTGTTTCTTATTATTTTAAATAAAGTGAAATTAATACCGAGAGAAATCCAGGATTTTTTTTTTTTTCTTTCCCCTCTCTCCTTTTCATTTCCCGTCTTCCTCCCCTCAGTCCAGACAGGTTGTAAATTAATTTTCATTAGGTTGTGTCGAACCCGACGAGGGGGGATTGTTTCGGAGCTAAAGCCGTGACTGGGGGCGTATATATTTACAATACTGGAACAAAAGGAGTCTATAATCTATACAAAGCACACAACAATACCCGTGAATAAAGAAGCTTGTAGAAAAAGGGAGAGGCAATTTTTCTAATTCTGTTAATTTCACTTCCAAAGCAATTAAAAGCAGGCAGAGATAATGCTGGGAAACAATCGCCGGCTGACAAAGTGTTTCTGTCTTTGTAAATGAAACATCTTTAGGCTAATTTCAACTTCCACGCCTGCATGGTTCACTCTAATTTCAGATAAAAATTAACACAGCTAGATTTGGACCTTCATAAAAAAAAAGAAGAGTAGAGGAGAAAGAGGGAGAAAAAAAAAAGATCGATCCTGTACACAATATTTTTAGAATGTCGCCCGAGCTTTTGCTAGATCTAATTTTCAGTATCTATAAGGACATTTTCATACAATTAATTTTCCTTTAATCATAATTGTACAAAGGGACTTCTCTGTATAAAATTCCAATTATATTTCCTGTTTAAAATGTAAGTTTGAATTATGATTTCTTCCCTCATTACGGCTCCGGTTTTTAATGAATCAATCGCCGCATCACTGCTTTCAGACATCAAATGGCGCGGAAAAAAAGTTTCGGCTCCACTTTTATCCAAGGAGAAATATTCCAGCCTTCCTGTCTCGGATAGTTGGCAGAACGGATAGCGAGGCGCCCGGCCGATAAAAGTGCGCCCCGTTCGACTTCATTTAACAGTTTTTTAAAGTTAAAGCCTTTAATTGTTACGCCGTTGATATCCAGGAAAATTGGACTGAACTCGCTCGAGAGATGTCGAAATAATAAAAAAAAAGAGACGTTTAACCCGCATGTGTCTTCTGCAGGAAGCCGAGACTCAACCGACGGCAACGCTTCGAGGTTCGGAGACGGAGGATCGACTTAGGAGCCCGAAGATCACGCTTGTTCAGATTTCTCAACTTAAAGGTTCTCTGGCCAAAAGAAAACTTTAAGGAGACGTCAAAAGAACTCGTGGATTTCCTCGACATTCCTCTGATTTACCCAGGAGCTGACGCAGAGCTTCCACATCAGCTTTCGAATCCAAAATATGCACTAAAATTCTTATTTACAGCATTAAGCGTTAAACCAGAGGGCTCGCAAACACCACCATCCCAGATTTACCAGACAAAACCCCACAATAACATACATATATATATGCAGGCCGTACAATACTGAACATTACTTATTATTCTACACGAGGACATTTAAGGCTCCGAACCCCAAGAAGCCACCG